TAACGGTACCAAATTACCTACATTTAAATCATAGTTAAAAGACACTTGAGCTTGCTAGACAAAGATACATAAATTTTTTAAAACCGATATTTCATTAACGCAAAAGTCCCTACGTAACTAAATCACAGTTAAAAAGTTGTATGCACATTGGCCTTTTCGGGCGCGTGCGCATGAACATTTGCGCTTTTGATGCCCTTTTATTTCTATAGATCGCGGCTTGCTGTTTACCGTTATCGCTAGGCAGTGACTAGTATTGGTTGTATACCGCCTTTCAGTTACATTATTTACGCTGTGCAATGTTTGTGCGTGAGTCTGTGATTGAGAGATGGTTTGCATATTTTTTGTTAGTGTTGATAATACCTCAGGTTGTCAGTGGAGCTACGTACCTTCGAAGAAGAATCCTTCCGACCTAGTTTCCCGCGGGGTGAAGGCTGATCACATCAGCGAGTCATCCCTGTGGTGGTCTGGTCCCACTTTCTTACACTATACAGACATACAATTACCTAAAGCACCAAACACAAAGCCAGATATTCTACCAGGGCCCTGTTTTATGAAGCTGACAATCCGACAAGTCATAAGTCAAAAAGTGACAATTCGACAATTTTTCTGTTTTATCAAACTTACAGGCGACAAAATGGTCATGGTGGAAAATTGACAAATATGTCGGATTGTTGCGACAATCGTCATTTTTCTGTTTTACGAAACTTTTTGAGCGACAGGTGACAGGTGACAATTTGTCGTGAAAAACTTGTCAAATCTGCTTTATAAAACAGAAAATTGTCATGACATATTGACATATTTGTAGAATTGTCCGACAATTCTCCACCCTTTTATTTATTACCCTCTGTCGCTAAATCATATTCTGAATTTTGAAGGTGTAAGAAAGTGTTTATAAAAGTTTTATTACAAAAAATGGTACTTACCTCGAGTAGTGAGAGTAGTGATGAGGAATACTTGGAACAAATACAAACGAGAACCTAATGCTGTTATTTGTTCGACTATTTCCTTACATTTTTTTTATTTTTGTATCGTGGGTCAATTCGTCACTAAACTTCCCAAAGTGTATATTCCTATTTTCGAAAATAAGGCCCAAAATGGTATTTTTTTTGTGCATTTCCATTTTACACGAAATTTTAAAACAAACAATCGAAGCTACACTAGTGATTGATTCATTATTTTACTCTGTTAATATGTTTTCTATTTTACCCTCATTTAGCTACAGAAAACATATTTATTTGCAAACATGTCAAAAGTCGACATAATTGTCACAACAATCCGACAATTGTCACCAACCATTGTCAGTAATAATTTGACTGTGGTTTTTTGACATATGTCGAGTTTTAGTAAACGATTTTAAATGACAAATATGTCAAGAATATGTCTGTCGAATTTTGACATATTTGTCACATTTTTTAAACACCCTAATCGCGACAATTCGACAATTTTGTCACTTTTTGACATATATGTCGAAATGTCAGCTTCATAAAACAGGGCCCAGAAATAACCTCACACACACATATATATATATTAATACAAAAATACACACGGAAAACAACGCAAACAGCAAAACAGATAATTCAATTTCAAAATTAATTCATAAAAAATCTAATTACGATAAATTAATTAGAGTTGTATCTTATATTTGCAGATTCATACACAACTGCAGAAACCCAAGGGCTAAAAGTGAAAACAGCCTGTCCTTATCTGAAGTACAACTCGCAGAAATTATTGTACTACGTACAGCCCAGAAAGAAATGTTTCCTGAAGAATACAATATCATAAAGTCGGGAGAATCGTTATCAAAGAGGAGCAGACTGATTTCACTTTCACCTTTTATAGACAGCAACGACTTATTGCGTGTAGGAGGTCGTTTAAATAATTCATTTTATACTTACAACGTCAAGCATCCCATTCTACTTAATAGCAAACATCATCTTTCACACATCATCTTCCAAAAAGAACACTGAGTCTTATTTCATGCTGGTCCACAATTACTTTTATCTCATATTCGACAAACTTATTGGATCTTGAGCGGAAGGAATCTAGCTAAGCGGGTACTACATGAGTGCATACGATGCTTTAGATTAAAATGAAAATCGATACAACCTATTATGGGAGATTTACCCACTGATAGGACTCATCTTGAATTCCCATTTTTAAATACAGGAATTGATTATGCCGGTCCAGTGCTGATTGTCGACCGTAAAGGTAGAGGATGCAAGGTACAAAAATCGTATATGTGTCTTTGTATGTTTTGCAGTCAAAGCCCTCCACCGTCCGCTCGGCTCGTCACAGACCTCACGAAAGAAGCCTTTGTAGCAGCGCTGAATAGGTTTATTGCTCGAGGTGGAAAACCCCAGACCATCTACTCCGATAACGGTTCCACCTTCGTCGGAGCTAGTAACGAATTAAAAACATTTATTACCGATGATTCGCAATATTTACAGTCAGATTTGTCAACTTTAGGAATCGAATTCAAAAATATTCCTCCATATTCTCCTCATTTCGGTGGGTTGTGGGAAGCCGCGGTAAAATCGGGCAAATTCCATTTACGTAGAGTTATCATTAGCATATTTAACTTACGAGGAGATGTCAACTTGTTTAGTCCAAATAGAGGCTATTTTAAATTCTAGGCCCCTTACACCCTTTTCATCTGATCCTTTTGATCTTACCTGCCTCACACCCGCTCACTTCCTTATTGGGCGGCCACTCTTATCAGTTCCTCAACCTCAAATGATCGACATCAACATCAATCGGCTACAGCGTTATCAAAGGATTGACAAACTGAAGCAACATTTTTGGGCAAAGATACTCAACCGATTATGTTTCTCTTCTCCAACAGAAGGTCAAATGGCATTCGTCGAGCGGCAACCTAAAGCTGGGTGCCTTGGTTTTGATGAAAGACAAAAACCAACCACCTCTGTTGTGGATATGAAAACGTGTGAACCAGGGGGCAATCCATCTTCGAATTCGTGTTTTTTCTTTTTACCTTTCACTATACAGGCAGGAGGTAAAAACACCCCTTCAGCATTGCAACACCCTATCACGGTAATGGTTTCCCCTTTCTCAGTTGAAGCTGTCATAGATACAGCTTTGGAACCTTTTTCTGCTGGAACATGCCCAGGGTATTAAGTTGTAGGCCTGTTTCGTCCATGTTAAACAACCAGCCGGGTTTTGCCAATAAATCGTGTTCAGTTAAAATACTTTCCAGTAGATTGAACTACGTGTTTACTTCATCTCTATTCATAGCCTGACTACGAGCCATTGAAACGCCTTCCGATTTTCTAAGTACAATATCTGGGTGTCTACGCAAATACATTTGAAACGTCGTAACCAGCTGTTTCTGTTGTTTTGTTAAATTTGTGTTTCAAATTCAAATTTTCCGCAAATTTAAATGCAATAACTCTTACGTCATTAATTGTTAGAGGGAATCCCCTTGCTTGCATTGTTTTAACATTAAAACAATGCAAGCAAGGGGATTCCCTCTGACAAAATGAAAATGAAATGATGAAAAAAAGCTGTCTGTTCACATGAACAGACAGTTTTTTTTCATTTTCTTCACCAAACATGCATGATGGACCCATAGGTCCCTTTTTCATATTATCAGTCTTAAATCTTCTCTCCAATGTCTTTCTAGGAATATTGTACCTTATAGCTGCTGAATAAATTGATAGTCCTTCATTTTTTATGGAATTTATGGCGCATTGTAAGGTTTCCTCTGACCAATTACCACGCGTGTGAAGACATTTTCTGATGTATTTATTAGGCATCTTAAACAAAAGAAAACAAACATTAAGTTACATTAAAATAGCGTTAAATAAATATGGCCATCACAAACCTATTTATTATGGCCATCTCTCCTTTTTGTCCGGGAGAGATGGCCATACAGCAAATTAAAACAATGCCAGAGATTTTGCCGTCCATTTTGAGGTTATATAATAACATAAAATGTGTACACTACAAAAACATACATAAACATCATTAATACTTTAAAATTATAACTTTAAAATATGAAATACAAACCTACTGCAAAATTTTTGACATGTTGTGATAAATTAAAGCACTTTTTACTTACTTTTCAATTTGTTTTTGCAAAAAGTTTTGATGCACTGTTACTCTCATAGCCGGCTTCGATCGAACTGAGAAACGAATAACGCCACCTAGTGATCGCTTGTCGGAAATTTTATCGCAGGCCTTCTCTCCCGTATGGCCATCTCTAACGGACTTACCCTAAAACTGTTTAGGTATTTAATAAAAACTTTCACAATATAATAATTATAATGAAACACTGCCTTTATTAACAAATAACAAAAACAATTAAGGATAAAACCATAGCAGTAATACTTACTTGAAATTTACGTGACGCAACGCTTTCCCACCAAAAACAGCAATCCACCGCTTCCACCACCGCGTTGCGTGATCCGGTCTCGCTACGTTCCCCCGCACCCCTTTCACCGATTTATAAATAGATCGCGTTGACGTTTGTCGAAATAGTATGAATGTCCGACGCTAGGTGCCGTACGGCGCTCCGGGACTTCCCCCTACTTTTTTTGTCGTTAACTTCGTACGGCGCTCGTTCAACGTGTATCCGGCTTTCGAGAAAATCCGCTCACAAGGAACGGAAGTGGCGATTAAATTGAGGCGTTTTAGCATAAATTGGTAAAGGAGTGGATATACCACGTCAGAGGATCTCTTTATCGTTCTAAAAATATTTGTCTACTTCAACTATCCCCGCCGCAGTTGGATTTTGAGGAGTTAATATGACGATTTCACTGTCGAAGTCGTCCCAAAACTTTTTGGAAATTGACGTTGTTGGAACAGGATGTTGTGGTGCTAATATAGGTGCTCGTTTGGGGACTAACGGTTGCGACAGTGACGCTTTACCCTTTAGGCAACCTAAAGCTTTTTCAAATTTTTCTTGATCCCTGAAACCTTTATTTTGAAACGTTGGTCAAGTCTACACTTGTATGTGAGGCAACTGTTTGCCTCATATACAAGTGTTATCTAGCGTTCTTCTCAATAGTCCCAAAACGTTTATTGAACTGTGGATTCAATGTTTGCAGGACAGTGCTTATTACCGGTAAAGTTGTGTGATCAGTTTCCCGTAATCTATTCGATATGTTGATAAATATAATACGATACATTGGTATATTTCTGCGCTTGCGGTCCACACTGCCCTGCTTCCTCTCCTCGCTCTCACCCTTTTCGGTAGATCCTACTTCTCTACTACCCCCCGCTGCTGCCATGCGCTGGGTGTTCGAGACCACCGTGGGCGAGTGAGCAGAGGTCTCGCTCTCCTTGTATAACAGAGCGACCGCCGCAGGCACCTCCCCAACGGCCAGGCGGTTCATATATGTCCCACCTGCTATGGCCCTAAGTGTACCCAATCCCAACTCCCTTGAGTTGGAATTGGGTACACTTAGGGCCATTGGTGTCTAATGTATTCTCACCGTTAGCGGTGAGTAGTGTCACGAGGCTAGATGTGGCCTTGTCAACATCCCCATTCCAATCAATGTCGTCTTTCCCTGGAGGCTGGACCGCCTGCGTTGGCAGAAATAGGTCCGATGGACCGGTGGGTGGTGGTGAAGTCTCGCCACCCGACCCCTCCGAGGACGTGCTTGATAGAAGGTGAGACTGCGCTATCTCGTTAGCCATCCGCGGAATCTTGACCGCGAGCTCGGGCATGTACTTACGGAGCAGCTCCTTCCTCGCCTCTGGTTTGCTCGGGACAACACCCCTCTTCCTTGCTACCAACTCGGCCCTCCTCCTCGCCCTTTCCGCGTAGCTTTGTTGCGATTAGTCACAACTGATTCTGGCGCCGCGTGCCTGTTCGGGCTTGAGTCCGTGCTTCCACTCCGTACCGAATGGTACTGGTCATCATTGTCTCGCCCCCTCGGATGTTCACCAGTAGTCTGTCTACTCTCCTCATCCTCCCCCCCACGCTCCAACACGCCCATGGTGGGGCGTACCTCCCAAACTTCCTCCTCTTGCTCGCGTCTGGCTCTTGCCCGTGTTAATACCCCCTTCTGCCTGGTGCGCGGGGTCTCAGGCTGTGACATGAGCAACACTGCTCAATCTAAAAATAAGAAAAGTATAAAAATACTCCGAAGAGCACGGCCCTCGCTGATTACTTGCCGCTGTCGCGTTGCACATACAAACGGTGTTCTTTGAGATGGGTCCTTGCTAAAATATTGCGGAGCTAAGAGCCGACTAAGGGAGCAAACTAAGCAGGACAACAGCACTGCAAAGAGAAGGAAAACTTGAAACAAACCCTATACCAACCCGTCTGGCCAGCGTGGTATAGGCCAAAACCTCCTTTCTAAGGAGAGGCCTATGTCCAGCAGTGTACTAGTATAGGCTGTTGATGACATTGGTATAACTTTTGATAATGTGTCTGATTTTTCAGCACTGATTTCATTGGTCCTCTCTGCAAACAATGAAAATATTGGCACAATTTCTTCTACGACTTTCCAGTCATTATCGTTAAAGCACAAATCGCTTCTTAACAAAGCCACTGTCTCAATTATGGCTGATTTGCATTGTAAGAAGCGCGACAGCATGTCGTAAGTGGAATTCCGAATTGAAAGATTCCATAATGGGCAACGCTTCTTATTACTATCACTCATTGTTTTTCACAATATTACTACAATTTAATTAGTAATTACTTAGAACACAAAGTCTAAACTATAGACAGATTAGTCTATTTACACAGTTTTATGATTTAAAAATGAAATATTTACAATGGTCAGTTCAGTTTGTAACTGTTAAGACCTATATATACTTTAACTAGCTGACCCGGCAAACGTTGTTTTGCCATATAAATTATTTCTAGGTAATTTCTAGTGTACACAAAAAATAACTGACTTATTGTAAGTGTGTAAGGATGTGGTATATGCGTGAAATAGGCATGGAGCGCTGTGAACGATGAGGGAATATAAAAATAACAAACGCCAAACATTATTATTTTTAAGTTATTATAGTTTATTTCTTAAAATTACATATCACTAATTAATTACGACAGTAACACTAAAAGCGGCTATACACGACACTAAAATCAGCGGCGATATCGAGACAGTGCTAGGGGGTATGAAATCGGCTATTCTCTACACACGTCGCCGCTGGCAGTCAGTACGTAACCGACCGTGCAACAGACTGCTCGTTGATCCGAGATGCCGCCGACACTCTCAAAGCAGCAAAAAATAGGCATTGTCTTGGCACTTACTATGGTGCCACCTAACCAGAAACGAAAAAGGAGGACCTGGGTTAAAAACTGGTTGATGAAACGTCATGAATTAAGCCACATGAACGTGATGAGACATTTAGAAGCAGATGAGTTCAGAAACTTTTTAAGAATGGATTCTTAAAAAGCTTCAGCTTCATTCCTTTTTCAGCTCTCTTCCATACGTAGTACGCATATTTTCAAGCTTTTTCTTGAAGTCCGCCAGTGTTGTGTTTTTGCCGGTCTCTTCATTAAAAAGTTGCAATAGCATTTTGAATGCCTCCTGTCTCATGTCGCGGTTGAAGTATTCGTTGTGTTTTTTATCCCACAAATAAGATAATTCCCTGAAGAGATCAATAGTTTTCGTCCACGCTTCTCGCTCCTTCTCCTTCGCCATGTTTTCGCGCTAAACAAAGAGTATAACCTACTACAGGAAATAAAATAAATGGCGCGAAATAACTCGGACCAGCGCAAGCAGTCGTATCGCCGTAGCACTCGCGCGCATACTGATAAAAATCAGTCCCGATTCCGCTACACACGTGCCGACCACGCTCCCTAGACGATAATCGTCCCTAAATCGTGAGTTCGCCCGAAGCGATTTTTGAATTAGGGTAAACAATAAAATTTCAGTTACGATTTGTCTATACACGTGCCGATTTAAAGTACGATCTAGGGACCTCCCCGATATTGCCACTGATTTTAGTGTCGTGTATAGCCGCTATAACAAACAATATCAATCTCTTAATGCTATAGCGTGAACAATATTTTTCTTAGCCCATCTTTAGCTAACACAAACAAACTGGATTGTTTACCCACTCGAGAGCATGCCACTACGCTTGCGTCGCACGCATCGCATCGGGTTGCGTTCATAAACTCATTCTAAATAACTCACGGCGCTTCTTTTGATTTTAACGCTGAGCTCGTAATTAATGTAAACTAAAACCCAAAGCGTAAAATTAAACCACAAACGTGAATATTATCTTGGGAGACTTGTACAATAAGCGGAATTTTTTTTTTTGTTATTTACAAGGCAAGGCTTGCAGGGGCATCGCGGCCCTATACGTAGCAACCGAATGATGACAACGACGTACAATACAGTCGGTCGAGTTCCTGTAGCACTCGGGGAATCCCCGTAAAACCAACAGAAAGGGTTGCTTACTTGGGAGATTTTAATTTCCTAGTTTTTTCATTAACCCTTCAGACTAATCGTATTTCGTACCACAATCATTACTATTGTGATGAGAGAAAATCTCACACATAGAAGACAGTGTATTTTGAATATCAATATATAATTTATAATATGGCGATTGGAGTCTACGGAGACAGCCGAAGCCATCTAAATTGCAGTATTTACTGTTACCTACTTTACTGGAGTGATAAGAAAAACTATCACAGCTGTTAATAAATATATAATATGTTGGATGATATGAGAGCAAATAACGCACAATTTGATTTATCTAAAAATAGAAATATTTAATGTTATTATCACATTACAATACTCAAGTTAATTGAGATCAAATGGTTACTTACACAATATACTAACCTAAAAATAGAAAAATCGACAATTAAAGGTTTTTACTTCAATATTTTAGTAGATCAACACTCTTACTAAACTTAATGAATTTATGAAATTTACTTCTTATCAAACAAATAACTCACTTCACGAGCAAGCTTATAATCTACTACGTCTCATAAAACACTCTTGAATCTATCGTCCATATTGTAACGTCATACTTTAAGGCTCCGTTCACATAGTATAAGTATTAAGCTACGTACCCAACATACAGTATACAAAGCTTACAAATATTTTTTTGCTTTTAGAGTTTTAAAACCAAATAAATTACTCACTATTCTGCAAAGCAAGCAAGTCATTTTGGTAAGATTCCATTAGAAATATTGAGAAAAAACGCTTACAAATGCTTGAGAGAATCTACGCGACCGTTCTGAAGAGTTAAAAGAAAACAATGTTACGTAACGCGTAAAGCCCCTGTAACGCATCGTAAGGTTTTTTCAAGACCCGCCTCCCTCTCCCCAAATTCATTACGTACCTAATACTTGAACGCTCCCTTAGTTACTGCTACTTTTTCATTCTCCAACCACTTCTGTCTTTTTTTTACACTTTGTAACGCTGAAATAATGTTTTCAAAACAATTTTTCATTGTTAATTTACAATTTGTCAAAACCACCTTAACCAAAACAATCCATGTTCTAATTATTACCTTCTTAATGTAATTAATACATTTAAATAATTGATTAATCATATCCATCATATTGATTAATTCAAACAGACGAGTCTAGTTAGTTACTCACTGTAGTTTTTAAGTTTACTAGTTTTAATTATATTAACTTTTAGTACTAGTTACTCGATAAAATAAATAAAAAATAAAAATAATTACAAGTGGTTTACAATTTGTAACTTAAGTATAGCTAAAAAATAAGGTGTGTAAGTGTAAACATCAACGTCATTAAAGTTGCGCTAAAAACTAAATTAAAAATATTTTTAAACACCAAACATTGCAAAATAATAACGTGCAATAACAAAAAGGAGGCTTGAGAGGGTTGGAGATATCAACGAAGGCGTAATTTGCACTTACCATCGCAGCAAAGAAAAAACTACATCAACAAAGTTTTGAGGTTAGATCATAAACTATTCAAGTGATATTTTTTTTCGACTTTGACAGTTCTAGTGAAGCATTGATAACTTGCCACAGATACAATAAAAATACTAACTTGTTGATAACTATCGCCTGACTTATAGGTCAGTGTTGCCAGTGTTGAAAAAAATAATATTCTATCGTTTTAAGATCACGTTTCGTTTCACGTAAACATTATAAATGGAAACACTATTCCAACTTTTGTTCGATAAAATGAAACTAGAAACGCAACAACAATCTGCGGTAATTACTGAATCTATTACAAACAACATTATGTCTAGACTGGATGAAAAATTAATCCCGATAATAGAAGAAAACAAAAACTTAAAGTTAAAAATAGAAACTCAGGAGAAAGAGGTAGAATATTTGAAAAGAGGAAAAAGAAAGAACAATATTATTATATTTGGCGTGGATGAAGTAAAAAAATCAACATACGAATTAATGGATATGATAACGAAAACATTCAAAAGCGACATAAATATTGATATTGAAGAAAATGCAATAAACAACTTATACCGATTAGGGTAAAAAAAGTACAGAAGGTAACAAACCGAGGCCAGTCTTCTGTTCTTTCGTTAACGGATGGAAAAAGAATGAGATAATGAGAAACAAAAAACATCTTAAGGAGATATATGTCACTGAAGACTATCCAAAGGAAGTTCTGGCCAAAAGGAAGGCGTTACAGGCGGAGCTGATAGAAGAAAGGAAAAAGGGGAAAATAGCGTTTTTTAAAATATGATAAGCTTGTAGTGAAGGAAAATGAAACGACTAACGAAAAAAGAAAACGGGAAACTTCTTCTTCACCACATTCTTCGGACATTCAACCCAAAAGACAGCAAGCCACTGTACCCTTTAAGGCCAATAGAAACAACGCATTTGACATGATGAGAATGAGATCTAACTCTCTTACTATCGCCCCTACAAACAAGCAACAGTAGCAACTAATTCTCGGCAATGGGAAAATCCAACAAAACAGAGAAACAAAAATACATTCAAGTAGCAAATTACACCCTTTTTTTTTTTTTTTTTTTTTTTTTAACGTGTGGAAATCCTCTCGCACCGTCACCCCTCCGGGGTTCGCGGCGGGGTGGTGTGTCGGACTCGGACCGACTAAAACCACACGGTGTGCCACTCTGCGCCTGTAACAGGAGGGATCCGGGAACAGCTGTTATTAAGACATCCGGACCCCTCCTAGCGCCGGCCCGCTCCTGTTGCAAGCCAAACTAATGCGGGTGGAGGCGAAACCCACCCCGTCCACCCGCGGCCACACTCAGGGCGGTGATAGGCGCGCCTCCGCCGCCCGGTTCGCCGGCGGCGGATCGGGTCCGAGTGGAGGTGGTCCTCCCGGGCCTTCTCCGCCGCCTCCTTCTGCGAGATTACTTCCTCGCAGAAGGTTGCGACCGCGGTAAAACAACTGTCGCTACCGGCCATGGAGCGTACTACGGCCGGTAGCGAGAGATCCACTCCGATGACTGCAGTGAGGGCCTGGCGCTGCGTCGCCCATGCGGGGCAGACCGCTAGCGTGTGCTGGGCCGAGTCCTCACTGCAGTCGCAGTGGTGGCAGGCGGGACTCAGTTCCCTCCTAGCGACCGAGTGCAGGTACTTTCGGAAGCAACCGTGCCCGGAAAGCACCTGCGTCAGCCGGAAGGAAAGGGTCCCGTGCTGCCGCCCTGCCCACTCGGCGATGACCGGCTGGAGAGCCTCCACGGCGGCGAAGCCAGCGCGTGGAGTCTCCAGCCGGAACGACCAACGAGCCATCGTGGCTCGGCGAGCGGCTTCGCGACGCTCGCGCACATCCTCGGGCGGAGGGCGAAATCCGCTCTCCGCCCGGGAGTCAGCCACTCGCCGATAAACTTCGGCGAGCACTTCCGCCTCCAAATCCCACGGGGGAGTTCCGGCCAACGCGCATGCCACCTCTGTCGAAACGGTGCGGTAACCGCGTATGGCTCTGACCGCCATTACCCTCTGAGGGCGCCAGAGGCGTGCCCTATTCTGGGTGGTCAGAGCCGCCGCCCACACCGGTGCACCGTACAGTGACATTGACCGGACAACCAGCAAATTACACCCTCCCCCAAGCCGACTGGTCCTCGTGGGGGAAAACGACCAACACCCTCTAAGGATAGACAAACAAAAAAGGGATAATAACTGCGATATACATGAAAGTTGTGTCCTGCTGGCGATCCCCAGCGCATATTCACCTATCGCCGAGACAGCGTCGGATTCCTCACCCGCCCCATAGACGATAGTGTCCCAAAACGCCCTGTCGTTGCCCATTAGGTCGGGGCTAACGGCGTGATCGCCTATCCCAACCCCCCTCTTCCATTCTTCGAATAAACTTCGCTTCAACATGGCACGCTTGATGTCGTCTAGTGCCATGGCCGTACCCTCCTTCCCCACGGTGGCGCCCCGCTCGCTGTGGATGTATGTGGCAATACCGAGTCCGGTTATCAGTTCCGCCTCATTAGTCCAAGCACCAACACGTAGGGCGAGGGCCATGTTGGCTAGTGTCTTACTTACGAAAACATTGTCCGTAAAGGTGGTTGCGTGATCATGGTAGTAAAAACTACTCTCATCATCGGGGGTGACACAATCGGGAAACTCATGTGTTGCGTACGCAACGTCGCAATAGGCCCTTGGTAGCCAATGGGTCTCAGAGCCACCCGCCTCGTCATGGTAGATCTCTGGCTGAGGGATAAACCGCATGGTCAGCCAGGCGACGAGTTCGTCTATTAGGGCCCAATCCACGTTAGGCGCGGTCATTCGTGTGGATAGCCACTGCTCCATCGTCACTTTGAGCGGGGTCGGCGAGCGTAGCACCCTGTCGAGACAGGCGGAGAGCATCTCCCCCACCGGCTGTGCCAGGACTCCCTCCGGCTCCCTGTTTCTATCCAGCCCTGCCACCTGTACCTCTATTCCTGCTATTTAGATTGAAGCCTCCCCTGACCCAGTCACTAATAGGAATTTGCGTCTCTTATTCTCTATGGTGACGCAACACTCGTTCCGACGCATTGCCGCCAACCTACACGCTTCTGCCCCTTCCGGCCCGGTCACAACGAACAACTCGTCGACTTCTACGAGTGGGTACGGTGCCGCCAGAACCAGTTGGAGCGCCCACATGAGTTGGACGCATAATCAATGACGACCACGCTAGGGTCGTCGATGCACCATGTGTCACCCTCGCCATTCGGGGCACCTCCCCTTTCATCGGCAGGCCCCACTCCGTGCCTGTAGGGAAGGCACAGCTCATATGCCGCAGGTGGTCGTACAACCTCATCTTGAGCAAATGCCCTGTTATATCCATGGTACAGACCTGCGATCCGTCCACCAACGTTTCCTGCAACAGGGGGCTGTCAGCTAGATAGCGCCATACGCCCACCCCCCTGGCAGCTTTTATTCGCCCATCCCGTGAGGTAGGGTCGTCGACTGTGCGTTTGAGGTCCGCAGCGCAGTCAGCACCAAGCCTCCCTTGCTGTATACGGGATCCTCCTTGACGCCCACCCACGTCAGGTTGCGCGTCTCGGCACCCACAGTCAAAAGGTCATGCTCATCCGCGACCGGGTCACACCCCATGAGACTCATGGCCCCAACGCCGAGAGGAACCCACCCAACTGACGCTTGCGGTTGGCACGCGTTGCAGCACGTGCCACCCCACGCCACGCCCGCGACATGCGGGTCACCCACACGCTACTAGCCGAGGGGGGTGGAGGCATTGCGGTGCCCGTCGTCTCTAGGACACTGGGTGAAGGCGATCCTATGCTTAGTTCCCCGCACCCTGACGCGTGGTTGGGAGCTTCGCCCGCCCTCTCTGGCTGCGCCAGACTGCCCTAGAACCAGAACAGCTGATGCCGCGTGGGCGGAGCACTGACCAGCCCTACTCCGTTTGCCACATTGCTGGTGTATACGAGCATGGGCACCTCCTCCTGCGCTACACGAAGTCGGCGCTCCGTCTCCACCCGTATCGCATGGCGGTGGCGCACCCCCCTCGTTGCTCGCGTCAAGGCCGCCGCCATCACATCCGCTCTTGCTGTGTCATGCACCACGGAGAAATTGATGTTGCCGTTCAATGTGTGCATTTCTTGATTGTGTGCGGCTGCAATGGCCTCTAGAGCGCCAGTACTGCCTGTCAATATCAGTTAGCTTAACGCCTCTGCGTCGAGGTAGGGCTTCTGCCCTTCCAGCAACCTCACGTTCTCTTTATCTCCCGCCAGGTGCTGGATGACACAGATGGGACAAACGCGCTCGGACAGGAGGAGGGAAGCCAAAGGCCTGTTAAGTTAAAGGGCCTCCCCTGCCAAACGCAAAATATCCATCTGCGTGCCACTCAGCCCCTGGCTCAGGCTTAACCTTGCGAGGGCTTCCTCTGTCGTGTTCCCCACCAGTCTGCTACCCGCGACTTCCATCTTCTTCTCCGGTGGGTTGGGGGCGTCGCGCCCCGCCCAGAGGTTGATGTTATTGATAAGCATCTTTCCTTCATTGCGATATCCCTCCCGATATAGCTCTCCCGATAAGTTGTATATATGTGCGGTCTATATACCCCCTCCAGTACAAAAACACATTTTTGAACATTTTATTGATAACACTAATCGAATTTTAGAATTACACCATAACACACTAATACTGGGTGATTTTCATCAGTTCAGTAACATGGCCCAACAATAATAACACCGTTTCCCTTCCGGCTTCCTTAACGGGCTCACTCGGGAACATATTACTCGACTTTATAGCTCTTAATAATTTAAGACAACAAAATACAATTCTCAATAGCCAAGGAAAAATTCTTGACTTGGTACTTTAGACTCAAAAAATTGAGCATATGCAAGAAAGCACAAACGTGCTTAGCAAAATTGACCCATACCACCCGCCTTTGGAATTTGTCTTATCATATTGCAGTACGCCGGGTCTTTCTCCCAAGATTCCTGGTGACAAGTTTAATTTTCACAAAGCAGATTTTGACAAAATTATAAGCGAACTTAACTCTGTTTCTTGGGGCGATGAATTCTCAGTCTTGACGAGTGTTGATGATATGGTGGTATGTTTTATAAGATAATCAGAGAGGTAATCGCGAAACACGTACCTTTAAGTAAGACCACATATCAAAAGTATCCCTGTTGGTATACTAAAGAACTTATAAACCTCTTAAATGAGAAATATAAAATACGTAAAAGGTATCGTAAATATAAAAATCCTTTGGACGAGCTGTCTTTCTTACTGCTAAAAAAACGTTGTTCTTCATTAATCGAATCGTGTTACACGAAGTACGTTAGTAATATTGAGGACTCATTGTCCAAAAATCCGAAGTTGTTTTGGACTCACCTAAAAAATATGCGTCATAATAAATGTACGTATCCATCTTTAATGCATCTGGATGACAGACGAGCCTCCGATGGTTCTGACATTTGCAATCTCTTTGCGTCCTATTTTGCGTCTGTCTATAAGGTCCCCTCTTCCACTTCAGTACACTATCATGACGCTACATTCCCGAACGCTTCACTTGCAAGTTGTCTGGCAGGGTTGTCCTTTTCACAAAATGATGTGTTAACTGGCCTAAAACATTTAGATCGAAGTAAAGGAGCTGGGTCCGATGGTATCCCATGTATATTTGCAACGGAATGCCGTGACGCGCTCTCCGTACCACTCTCGATAATATATAACAGTTCACTAAAAGCCGGTTTCTTTCCTACCGGTTTCCTACTATATTACCGGTCTTCGGTAAGTTATTTGAAGTACTAATAAGACCCACAATTACATGGCACATCAAGCAATTGATATCGCCACAACAATTTGGCTTCCATAAAGCTCGATCCGCAACAACCAACCTTACTTCATTTGTGACCTTTTTGACTGATTCTGTTGATTCTAATACCCCCGTTGACACTATTTATACCGATGTAAGCAAAGCGTTCGATACAGTGGACCACAATATCCTTATTTACAAACTTTCCACCTTTGGTATAACAGGTAACTTGCTAAAATGGTTTTCCTCGTATCTCAACAATCGAAGTTCCAGGGTGGTTGTTGGTGGATACACCTCTCAATCATTTTTAACCCATTCAGGTGTTCCCCAAGGATCGGTTCTGGGGCCGATTCTGTTTAATATCTTTATAAACGATATTGTACCACTTTTCAAGCACAATGAATGCTTCCTTTAAGCTGACGATCTCAAACTCGCAAAACAAATAAAAAGCAAACATGACACTTTCCTTCTACAAAAAGACTTGAACTGCTTAGTCGATTGGTGTGGGAGAAATGTCTTAGCACTGAACATAGACAAATGTAAATATATACGATTCTCACGCAGTACTCACTTGAACTCGCAGACATATACCATTAATAATAGGACATTGGAGGAGGTTGCAAGTGTCAGGGACTTGGGAGTTAATTTGGATGGCAAAATTAGATTCCACACTCACATTGACAAAATAACAACTAAAGCATTTAAAATGTTGGGCTTTGTTATAAGGAACTCTAAAGATTTTAAAAGGCCACAGACTAAGATTAGACTTTTTTCGGCCTTGGTTCGATCTGGTCTGGAATATTGTGCTCAGGTTTGGTCACCACACTACGAGGTACATATCAAACGTCTCGAAAGTGTCCAAAAGCGTTTTCTTTGGCACCTTTCATACCAGTGCAATAAAGTAAAACTGCTGCCGACGTATGAAAGTCGTTTAAAACATTTTAATCTCCACAGTTTGTTCGATCGTAGGCAGTTATTGGATCAGATTTTGCTTTACAAATTAGTTAACGGTGACTTAGACTGCCCCATTCTTGTTGAGAAAATAAATGTGGGATATAGGGTTCTTCAAATAAGGTTTACACCGTCTTCTTAGTAAAATAATATTTTTATTGCTTAGCACCATTGACCGTCGTACATGTTAATCCTCCCTCTTGCTTTTTCACATGCCTTCCCCTCCTTCCGGCATCTCTCTCCCTCTCACTCACACATCACACTCTCTCTCTCTTACAGCTGCATTCCTATTCCCACATTCGGCCATCCGACATCCATGTCTGTCCTCAGACATGCTAGACTGACTCTCATTCCTTATTACATTCACACTCATTCATCAAACAACTTAAATATTTTAATCACAAATATTAACAACAAAATGAATAAAATTCTTGTCTTACACAGTTCTTAACTAAAGGTCTTATGCGAATACAATGCAAAGGTTAACTTCTACACATGTTATAAACTTAAGCACTATTTAATAACAAAACATTAGTAAATCAGCTTACAATACTAACCGACTTATGAGATTACACTACAGTTTACATTTACCAACAGATGAAATGAGTTTCTCATTAACACAGAAAACTTAAATGAAACAAATAAAACAAAAAAAAATTGAATATCAACATTCAGTCTTACATCCATATCTCACTACAAATCAAAACACACTTACTCAATTTCTCCATCCTTGTCAGGCCACCTCTTCATCCCATCAGCTGAGCAAGTAGTCTTTATGGGACCTTCAGATGTGACATCATCCTTTTCGACATCATAGCGGTCCTTTCGTTTCACCTTGGTAATCTTATATGGTCCTAAGTACTTCGGCTTTAGTTTGAGTCCTGAGCCAAATTGTGTCCTTTGTATTGCTACTCGTTCACCCACTTTATACTTAGTACTTCCCTTTCTTTTACTATTATAAGTACTAGTGTTTTCTTCCTGGATTTTTAATATTTGTTCTTTAGCCCTTTTTCTTAATACTTATCTTTCCTCACTGAATTGTTCTAGACTTTCTTGCTGTAATAAACTAATTAAGGGTATATCTTCTTTGGATTTCATCTTGACACCTGTCAATAGCTCAAAGGGACTAGTGTTAATGCTCCTTTGGAAAGTGCTGTTTATTGCCCGTTGCAATCGGCTTACATGTTTGTACCACACTGATGGATCTTCTGCACATAACTTCGTAAGAGTTGGTTTAATGATTCCATGTACCCTTTCCACCTGGCCATTTCCTCGTGGCACTCCTGTTGTTATCTTTATGTGTTGTATCTTCTCACTCTCACAATATTCTTCAAACTCATGACTAGTAAAAGCAGTACCGCGATCGGTGACAATCCTTTCTGGGTTCCCAAATGTCTGTTGGTGTATTTTAAGCTTATCTAGAGTTTCACTACTGGTGGTGCTCTTTGTAAGGAAAAGCCACACGAATTTGGTAAAGGCATCTACTATTGTAAGAATGTGATTATACTTCTTTCTAGTCTCAGTCATTGGTCCGATGTGATCCATGTGAAGGGTATGCAGGGGAGTTCCCTCCTTCTGAATAGGGTTAAGAAAACCTTTCTGTTTGCCCTGCTTCTTCGTTGCTAGCAAGCATGGTATACAGCTTGCTATAAAGTCATCAATTTTCTTATCTATGTCTTTGATGTAAAAATCTTTAACAATAAGTTCCTTCATTTTTCCCTTACCAAAATGACCATTGGCATGCACTCTTCGTATGACTTCCTTTTCCATGCTTCTAGGTATTACTAGCTGCTTCTGGTCACTCTTGTATAGAATATTGTTTTCCAACCAATAGTCTAAATAGGGGTTTTCTTTTAGAATTTCAATCATTGCTTTCAGTCCTTCATCCTGGGTTTGGGCTTCCTTAACTTGGTCATGAAGGCTTGCTACCATGACTGAAATATAAGGGTGTCTGCTCAATGCGTCTACATGCCTCATCCTTGATCCTTTTCTATGCTCAACTTCAAAGTCATATTGATCTAAAAACAACACCCATCTCGCAACCTTAGATGATAAATCTTTTTTCTTCAATGTTAGTGCAAAGGCTTGACAATCTGTGATAATCTTAAAATGTATGCCAAACAAGTAATGACGAAATTTCTTAACAGCTTCTATTATAGCTAGAGCCTCCAGTTCATAGCTAGGGTACCTTTGTTCAGCGTCATTTGTCTTTCTACTCATATACTGGACTGGATGTAAACCACTATCCGGATGCTGCTGTAACAGTATTGCTGAATATGCAATGCTAGATGCATCTGTATGTACTTCCGTGGGCAGCTTAGGATTATATATCTTCAACACTGGACCACACGCCAGCTTCTGTTTCAAAATGTTAAAAGCATTACGTTGATCTTCTTCTAAAATAAAAATAGCATTTTTTTTTAATAAGTCTGTTAAGGGTTTCGCTATTGCAGCATAATTCTCTATATATTTTCTGAAGTAAGAAGTAAGTCCTATGAAACTGTGTACCTGCTTAGTTGTTCTTGGTTCCGGGTATCTCATCACAGCATCTGTCTTTTCCAAACTCGGGCTAATTTCACCATTTTGTATGCGATGACCCAGATATTCAATTTCACTGCATATCAAGTTTGCCTTCTTCCAATTTATCTCTAGTCCATATTCTGAAGCAACTGATAAAACTTCTTTCAATCTTTGCACTCCTTGTACCTCGTCTTTAGCTAGAATGATAATGTCATCGATAAAAACTAACATTATGCCCTTGTTGATTAAATCCCTAAA